TTTAACTGCAGAATTTTTCACGTTCAAGTTCTGTTATATATTGCAATGGTTCAGATTTTTTTTCGACTTTCCAGTTTGAATTCAGTGTTTAATTTACCAAGTTTGAAATTAGCAACCCAATATTGTAATGCTGTCAGGGCTTCCACAGGTCTTGCGATTATGGCTTCTATATGTGAATAACCAAATCCTTTTAGTTTAAGAGATACGGCACTTTCGTATAGTTTTCGAGGTTTTCGAAATTTCATATAGTTTTCGAGGTTTTTCAAAAATATCTAGAAAACTTAAATTTGAAAGATTTCCCTTAGTTTTGAAATTCTCATCCTTGTAGTTGGATGCTGTCAGCGTACCCTCAGGCCTTGCGAATCTTGCCTCCAAATCTCCAAATCTTTATAGTTTTCGAGGTATGACGTTTTTTATGATTTTTTCGAAAATTTTCAAAAAACTTAAATCTACAAAAAAAAATTATTTTGAAGATCTCAATCCTGTAGTTGGAAATTGTGAGGGTTTTCTCAGGGGTTGCGAATCTTGCCTCTGAATATTACTGCTCAAATTCTTGTAGTTCTCGAGATTTTAGGTTTTTAGGATTTTTTCAAAGTTTTTAAAAGAACTTAGATATATAATTTGAAAGTTTCTTAAAATTTGAATTTTTCATTTCTATAGTGAGGCTCTGTCAGGTTAGTATCAGGAGTTCCAATTTTTGTCTCCAAATATGACCGCTCAAAACCTTGAAGTTCTCAAGATATGACGTTTTTTGTGTTTTTTTCATAAAATTTTCAGAAAACTTAAATTTAATTTTTCCCCTAAAAATTTGAAATTTCCATTTTTACAGTGGAGGCTGTAAGAGCATTCTCAGGGTCTCAACGGCTGCGGATCTTGCCTCCAAATATGACTTCTCAAATCTTTGTAGTTTTCGAGATATGATGTGTTGTATGATTTTTTGATTTTTCAGAAAACATAGATTTTTAGAAAACAAGACTTCTTAGTTTTTTCGAAAAAATTTAGAAAACTTTAATCTGAAGTTTTTCAAAACTTGAAGTTCCGAACCCTAACTGTGAATACCCTCAGAAATTGCAAATCTTGCGTCCAAATGCGACTGCTCAATTGTCTTTAGTTTCCGAGATGCGAAGTTTTTCTGTCATTTTAAAAGTTTTCCACGAGCTTAGCTTTAAAAAATTATGGTTTTCGTATAGTTTTTCAAAATTTGAATTTAAAAAAACGTGAATATTTTTTGCAAAATTTGAAATTTTCAACCCAGTAATTGCTGTCAGAGTACACTCAAAGGATGCAAAAATTATTTCCAATATATGCGGTTTTTTTTGAGTTGCCATGAATTCGAAGCACCGGAGGTGCGTTACACGCTAGTTTATAGAATAACTCAATTTTCAAGAAAACTATGTGCTCTCTACTGCAGTTAAAGTTTTTTATTGAAATTCAAGTTATCGATATTTCCAATGCGGTATAATACAAAATTCATCAAGTCTGTAATTTCAATTATCAAAGTTTGTCTTGGAAAATTGTAGCTGACACAATAATCTTCTCAGTTTTTGAAAGGTAACAATTATAAAATTTTCGTATAACGTATCGGTTTTTGAATTTTTTATGCGATTTTCTTGAATGTTTTATACGTGTTTTCATACTTTGAGAAATAATGAATGGCGTTATGTCATTAAAATTTTACACTTGCCCTAATATAATCACTTGGAATCCTGATTTTCTTTGCTTGCAAAAATTGGATTATTCCCGTTTTCCACAAATGATTTCTTAGTTTTTCAAATGTGCTTTTATGAATCATTAAGGTGTGTTGAGAGAGAATGGTGGATTGTGCCTTGTCTTCAAATTTTTTAACAAAGCTTAGTAGATGTCGCAGTTTTTTACGCATGGACACCAGTGGAATATCTTTTTATTCGTTAAACGTTCGCCTCTGTCACTGTTACTTTTTTGTATTGCATTTTACTCGCATTGGAGCGGTAAACCCAGGGTTCTCATGTGTCCCTCGCTTTATTTCGAGCTTTTATTTATTAATTAGTCCAATAAAATTATGTTCGTGATATTTTTTCGGTCTCATTGATTTCAATTTGAGCTCTGTCGGCCGTCGTATGGAGTGTCCTGGCTTAAAATTTCAACGTTTTTTTATGGTTTTGTATAAGCAACCCTTCATCTCCCGAAAATCTTGTTCAAAAAACAGCAAAAATAAACTTTTTTTGAGATTTCTTTTCGTTTTTCCATAAAAATTTTTTTTAAATGGATTTTTCAATTTATGTTAGTATGGCTGTTGAATATACTTAAACCTCCTATCTTTTGTTCAGCTCTTCTATCACACCACGCAGGAAAACAAAGACAATAATTTGAAAAAACTCATGAAATAATTTGAAAAATTGTATTTTTTAAGTCTATGGTCGGAACATTCTGTGCCACTTGCACAGTAACCGGCTATCCTTGTTTTGAGTTATATTCTAACAGTTTGATGAACGATTGTACTATTATAATTTATTTTCTTATGGTTCCGTATGTTTACGCATGATTTTTTAAAGTGATATCAATCTAGAACATAGGATTTTGCGAGTTCAGCTAAATCTTCACTTAAAAGATATTTAGCTAAATCTTCACTTTTCTCCTAGTCAAAAGAACACATGAGTTGATTCTTCGGTATGATATTGTTACGTCGGTATGAAATTGTTCGTTATTATAATTGTTGCGGCAAAATGTGTTCGTTTTGGAAGTGTTCATTTTGATCAATAACCAGCTATTACGTACGACCAATGCTAAGGATATTAACACAGTCTATTATTACAAATAGCACTTTAGCTTCAAAGTATCTTGGATCTGTAGCGTAGAAGTAGGGAAGGAAAACCAAACAAAATTAGGGTTCGCACCTCGGCAGGGTCGAATGTTTTAATGAACTTTATCCTATACTGGTTACAATGCGTCCGCTCTATAAATTGAATCATGTTAGTTTTTTTTCCAAATTGACAGTTATTGCTAGCTAATGCGTCATAGTTGGCTTGCGTCACTTAGCAATTATGTAGACTCATCATTGGCGTGCGTCACTGAAGAAACTTTGAGGACTTGAAGTTTTACTCATGCAGTTTTTTACAGTAACGTTATTGGTAATTTTTGTGCTTGTGTATGCGAAGTGCAACTTCGCCTCTGTATAGTGTTTTCGTTTTCTCACAAAAGGTTTATTTCGCTTAAATGGTTTTGCATTAAGTTGTATTGGCTTAGTCCGCTCAATTTATGCCGTTTCGTTTGAAGTGCGAAAGAAGGTTTATGCGTGTGCTTGAAGGGCTGGTAGTAAAAATTCCGAGTTTCAAGTTTTGCAGCTCAAAAATTTTGTCAACATTTTTGGCACAGCTTTCAGTTGATTACACTAGCGTCAAATTAGTGTATTATTAAGAAACTTCTTTTTGAACTTCTTAATTTATACACTATGTGGTTTTAAGCTTTGCGATTTGTTACATGCAAAGATAGGTGGATACCTTCAGTTTGTTATATTCCAATTTATTACTTGCAAAATTGTGTCTAATTGTATTTGGTGCCACTTTTGCTGAATTACATTGGCAATTTAGTAGCATATGTAGCTATAGTAGTGACTATGTAGCTATAGTAGCTATAATCGTGACTAGTTTTTCGGTTGCTAAGCGTGCGTGGCTGAGTGGTTAGAGCGTGAAACTCAAAATCTCTTGATTGCAGTAGGTCGCAGATCGAATCTTAGAGCTAGCCGATTTTTTGCTAATTCGAAGCTTTTCATTTTTTCTTATTGCACTTTCTGCTTTTTGTCGTGTTCTCACTAGTGTTTGCGAAGCGAAACTTCGCCTCTGTGTGGAGTTTGACTAAATGCTAACTCAACGCTAGCATTTTGAACCAACAAAAGACAAATGTTGTAGAAACGTATATAGTTTGTTTTCGATATTTTTTTGCAGTAGTTCATTCAACAAAATAATTTTCTTCCAATTTTGGGAGGGAAGGGTAATTTAATGTTTTGTTATAGTGAGTTTTTTAAGTTTACGTTACTCCAATTAATGTTGTGTTTTTTGATATTTCAATTGTTTTTGTTGTAGACTATCGTAGTGGTAGACTATCGAAAGTTCTGGTATAAAGAACAGCGAAAAAAAATTAATTTTTCACAGCTTTATCAACACCTTTTCTGTCTACTTGCTGGCTTAATTAATGGAACGCAATTCAAATTTTTTGCATTTGTTCGAAAGTGTGAACTTTGTGTAATGTTGATTGAATCATGACTGAAAAGACGTTAAATTGATATATCACTCGACATCATCTGAGGTTTTTGTGATGCGTTTTTTGCGTGTAAAAAGTTCCAAAGAATATGTCTGCGAACCTTCAGTCAGCAAGTCCTTCCCTCTTTGAATTAGTTATTGTTTTGGCATTGAACTCGGTTGTAGTAATCAAATCGAAACATAATTTCGATGGTAGCTCATTTGTTTTTTTAGAGTAGCTAACATATGTAATTTATGTGTGGACCGATCGTTTAGCTGACGAATCTTTTAGCTTAAAAATCAAAGTTGAGTCTTTCTGCAGAACAACGAAATAAACTACATGATTGATTGACAGACCGAAAAAGACGCTCAGTCTTGGGTCAAGCTTCCCCAATTAAGACAATTATTTCACGATTTGTCAGCAAAATTATCAACTTCAAAAACACGATAGTCAAAGTTAGCCATTAAACAAAGGTTTACGCGCACAATAACACGTGCCGAATAGAAGCGCAGCGGAGCAAACGGTCATTAATCGCCAATTCCGCGTTTGAAGCTAGCGTTCTGACTTGCTAATTGTTCTGAGTCTGCTGAAAGATTGTTCTGCTGAAAAACCGGTCTGCCAAAATCCCTAGCACCCATTGATTAATTCTTTTTCGTAAATAAGCTTTGCTGGGCTTGGATACGAAGTTCCAAGTATTGTCTGTATAACAGTGTTGTCTTGTTTTGGGGTTTGATAAGAAATGGCCTCAAAATTTGAAGACTTGCTATCGTTTGCCTTGTCAGTTTCAAACCAGGAATTGACATATCAATTGCTAGTGGTGTAATTTTTGCATACAACTATTCGAGCATATTTACATAGAAGTTTGTTAACTTTGCTTACATTTTAATTACGTACAAACGACCTTTATAAGTTATCAGCCGCAAATTAGAGACCATTCAAATACAATTAATAATCAGGCTATAAAGTAGAGTTCCGCATTCTGCAGTGACTGTATTCGTTACCAACGTGCATCAGGCATCTAACGAACGTACATTGTTATAGCGCTGAGATTGTTGTTGAAACTCATCTCGCCTTTTTCGTTTTTCTTTGTGCACTCGTCCGACGCTATCAAGTCGAGAACTTCGCTTTTCAGCGGCTCAGGTGCCTTTTCGACAAATTCTGCAGCTTCAACTATGAAATCGACCGCCAGCTGTCCGGTCAGTGATGTCCTCAAGTCGGATCCGATGTTGAAAGTGGACTCGATTTCGGTCTGGTCAACGTGGACGTGGTCTCCCAACTGGTCGCACAGCTTGCGGATGTCATCTGCTGTTGTGTAGTTGCAGTTGTCGTCTTGTGGAAGACGAGGACCGAACTTTTTCCAGACCTCAAAATAATTCCATATATTTTTTAAGTAAATTAATCAAAAATAGATATTCATCAAGAGTCATGTCAGCAAATCAAATAGTTATATATTGGCTAATAAGGAAACGATGTACGTGGGTCACGACTTCAAGTGAAATGTAGCTACAACAGCAACAACTTAGAGTGATAAAGTCTTTTGGCCATGGATCATTGCCTAGAGTCCAGATTTTACAAAAACTTAGTAGAAATACCTGTTATTTGAAATAGTAATAGGGCAATCTTCGAATGGCTATGAAAGAATCTAGATTGGGATTATAGAGTAGATTATAAGGTTCTGATACCTTTGCGTATCCGCTGTGTCCTGACACATGGATCAGGAACAACCTCCCGGTGCCTTCCAGAGACTTGATAGAGTTCTCCAGCACGCTGAAGGGGTTCTTGACGTAGTACAACATCTGCACCAGGTAAACCATATCGTACTTTGGAAGCGCTTCTCCTGAGGCCTCAAATGTCGCTATGTAGTCCTCAAAGGAGGTAGTTTTGAAGGTCAACGTGACTTGAGCCTGTCCTTCTTCAGAAGTAGTCAAGCTTTGAAGAAGTGTTCGGCATCTGTCAGTTTGCTCGCCACTTGGGTCTGGAAAACTCTTTCGGTTAAATGTCATTATTTGTAAAACAGCATTCATGTTTTCTATTGCTCAACGTACTTAGGCTTTTCAAAAGATTAAGTGTGGTATTTTTTTTTCTTCGATGATAGTGTGATTTGTCTTTGAAGTTTTCGATGCCATTGAGAAGTTAGGCAACCGACTATCCATGGTTAATTTGTAAATGAGTTTTTCGTACCAAACTCTACTAGGTGAAGACAATTGAGTGAAGTTAACGAGTATGCACTTACCTATCAGGGTGACGTGTATGTTTTGGAAGTGTGCATTGCGCAGCTTCTCAATCACCACTAAGTCCACCTGTCCGTCTCCGCAGCCCACACTCATCAGTCTCAGGTCTTTCTTCCCTCCTAGGTGCACTATCATCTCATCCATGTACCTTCAAAATAAACTCATACTAAGAGCCATTAGTAGCTTTTAGTCATAAATATTTTTCAAATCACTGGTTTGATGAACTGACTCATAGAATAAGGAATTTTTGGTCGGCAAAATTTATTCTCATCTTCTTGCTATCTCTATCTAGCAATGTTCCGTAAGTTTGACTTTTGAAAGGACTTTTTATATATAAAATGCAGATGGAACGAATTTAAAGAAAAAACGTGTTGCGCTCTCCCTAATAATTAGTATATATTGGCTCGAAGGGAGCCTTTGGAAAAATTTAGTATGTCGACCAAAAATCGATATCATAAAATAGTTCAACAGTGGGGTTCATTTGTCTAGTCAGGGTGTTTCAGTCGTTTTTTTTTGTGCAGCAAAATTGGGTCTGTTTTTTTTCTGATTAATCCTGGATTTACCCTGAATTCATCAAGCAGTAATTTCTGTATTGGGGGCTTACATGTCCTGGGAGCTATAATGGGAAATATCGTGAAATTGTCTTTGATGAAAGAAGTCAGTTTTTATGTTTGTGTATGACCTTACGTCTTGATCCAGTTGATGATTGCTTCGTGTTCATCGGAGTCCTTGAGAAATGCCCCGAACGACTGCAGGTATCTCCCCGTGTCCGAGTAGAGAGATCTGATGCTACCCGCTCCAGAGGTGCTGTTAGTGGTATCCGGCGCCGAGCTCATTATCGATTAAAGAGTGTTCGTTCTAAGCAAAATTGTTGGATATCTTTTTGTTTCCGACCTCTCGAAGAGTGGGGAAAAATAGCGCTTGGTAGTTTTTTTTGCATGATTTAAGGTTAACCCTAAAAAACGCACTTAGCGTTGTAACTGTAGTTCAATACTACAGCCCTTTAAGTCGTGATTGGGATCTTAAACGATAGGGGCTCAAATAAATGCAAAAAAGCTGAGGTTTTACGTTTGTTTTCAGAGATTTATAGGTATGAAGCATCGTTTTCAATTGATCTCGGTTTTTTCGACTGATTTTTTTTTGTTTAGAATGAAAACTTTTTGTTTAAAATGAAGTTACAAGAAAACAAAAAGAGTATATAATCACAGAACTGATCAAAATTATTTTTAAGTTAATTATAAAACATCAAATGAATTTAATTAATTAATTAATTAAGTTAATTAAAATTTTGAAATGCATAATTTATTCAACTGTGACATTAGTAACCTGATTTGTGTTTGGACAAGCAGTATTTACTTTACCAAAGTTTAATTTAGGTCTGTAAATAATTTTCCCGCAATTTGCAAGCAATTTACTTTCTAATTCTGTTATTTTCTGATCGACTAATTTGCTTGTCGTCTAATTTCTTAAACCCCATTAGTATTATCTCTGATAATTGCTGTTTCTGTCAATTTTTCTGCGCTTAACCGCCTTTAAGCTAAATGTGTTACATTTGAGCATATTTTGCGGACTTTAATGTGTTTTGCGTAGTTAATTTAGTTGCTTAATAGAGCCATAGGCAGTTTATTTCTAGCTAGTTTGTAATGTTTTTTTTTTCACATGCACGAAAGACATGATAAAAGATTGAGAACCTTCTCTGGCTAAAACCCTCTGTAAATTGGCAATGTAGCAAACTTTTTGGGGCTTTATAAAATAGCATATAGTTAAAATAGCATAAAATTCTGTTATATTTATTTAAGTGTTATCGCGTGCGTATTCTAAGTAAATTTACAATTCTGGAAGAACATTTTGGCATGGCCATTTAGTAGCAGATTCATGACTAATTATTAATTTTCGCTATATTTTAAACAATAAATTGAATAAAGCTATGTCAACTCTTTTATTTTGTTCATTCGCAACCAATTTTCTGATATAAAATAATGAGATCGATAGCCGGAACGTTGTTGATAGTATTAGTATTATTAAATCTTTGAGTTGAATGAACATCTTTTCGAAAATTTCAAATTTTAATGCTTTTTATCTCTATGCTTAAGGTACGGTCCCCAGCTTTTGTCTAATTGTCATTTTCATAAGTCGATGAATGTAGTTCAGACTCTTACATAGGCCGCGATGGTTTTTTTCTGGAAAGGTCTTAACATTTTTACAGGCTCAAATTTACTTTATCGCGGTTTGACTTCTGATTTCTTTTTAAGTTGAGCTCATTTCCTTTGCTGAAAGGTAGGCGAACTCCACTGTCGAAAAGCGAAAGCTTAAAGGTCACGAAAAACGTGATCTTCTAATTTCGAAAGTAGAATTTAATTATCGAATTTTCCAGCGAAAAAAAAAATTTGCCTTTTGATCCAGTTTTCTCCAATTGAATTAATTTATTCAAAAAAAGTGTCAATCATAAATAGTTCAAGAGTTTCAAAGAGCTTTAAGGGCATCTGTTTTTTTTATTATAAAAATTTGAATTTTTAAAAATAAGTTCATTAATTTTTTTTCTTTACTTGTGTTCATTGACTCGTTTCCAACTGTCTGTTGGCTATGTTTACTTTATTTCAGCTAGTTTTAGCTTTTTTTTCTGAATCCTCAGCTAATGTGATCCAAAGATTTCGCCTTTTAAATTGAAAACCATGCAACCTCGTCGAAGTTTTTTTTCCTCAGCTAATGTGATCCGAAGATTTCGCCTTTTAAATTGAAGATCATGCAAGCTCGTCAAAATTGTAGGGCGGAAAAATGCTGCTATTGCTTTAACTGCTTTGAGGAAATTTTTTAGGTAGTCGAATGTTTGAAGTTGAAAGTGATCGCCTATTGATAGACTTCTTCAACTGGCTAGCTTTTTCCAAGAATTTTTTGAATGTATATTTTTCTCGGATTTGTCCTGCTGCTGAGTTAGTTTGTTTGAAGCGAAGCTGCCGGCTTCATCAAGTTTAAAGGTCATGTTTTGTTTTATAAATTTTGTTTTTTTTTTTCATGTGGGAAGCCGTCGACTAATTATCACTTAAATTACTATGGTTGAAATTCCTAACCCTGTAGTTGAGGGCTATCAGAGTACTCTCAGGGGTTGCGAACCTTGCCTCCAAATATGACTGCTCAAATCCTTGTAGTTTTCGAGATATGAGGTTTTTATAAATTATAAAGCTTTCAGTAAACTGAAATTGATTTTTTTTTCTAATTTGAATTTGTCAACCCTGTATTTGGGGCTATAGAGTACTCCCAGGGGTTACGAATCTTGCCTCCAATTTTCTCCTGAGGCCTTTTAAGCTTTCGAGATTTGAGGCGTTAATTATTTTTCAAAATTGGAATTAAAAAAATTATGAAATTTGAAATTACCAAACCTGTAATTGGGTGCTGTCAGAGTACATTAAAAGGCTGCAGATCTTGTTTCCAATATGTGCGGTTTTTATGAGTTGTCAAAAATTTGAAGCACCGGAGGTGCGTCCCACGCTAGTGTTAACTAGAATTAGTATGATTGCGTCGCAAAACTAACCCAAGGCAATGGTTCCCGCCGCAGTCCAAAATGTAAAAGGATAATCGTCAAATCATTTTGATGACAGACGTTTATTTCATAAAAAAAACGGAATCTAATTTTTTTTAGAATGTCAATTCTTATGAAACAAAGGTAAACAGTTGTTTTTCTTGAACATAAACATATATCAGCTCAGTAAAATTTCCATTGTAAAATACCTAAAAGCGTATTGTATCAAGTTTAGAAGTAGTCATCAGATGTTGGAAATGTTATTGAACTGAAGAAAATAAAGTGAAATTCCCGGGCTATTCTCGGGTTATCATATTTTTTGTTTGAGATTTTGTCACTCCTATGGTAGCCTTGAAAAATGAGTTTCTATTTTGAATATGAAATTGACGTCATTCTTCTGCCATTCTGGTTTTTATTTTAGAGAGCGACTTTCCTGCAGTTCAATTGAGTTCATGTACATCACCAATTGGAAAGTCACTTCAATTTAGTACTTAGTAAGAAGTCGTTTTTTTTGGAATGCAAAATGAAAACTCTTCTTTAGAAACCAAATTAAAGCCAACATAAAATTGGAAGAATGGTACTGACTTAAGGTGAAAGAAACTGCATGCGCGTAATATTTTAAGTCTGTTTATCAAATATGCTGGTCAAGGCTTAGCCTAATTAGTCTGCATGCCAATTTTTGTTACAATCGGACAATGTTAGCAATAAGTTTACTAGTAAAATTTTGCAGGTGGGGAAAAGGAAAAAATCCCAACAGACACTTGGAAAAGAGTCAATGAACGCAACGAAATAGAAATAAAAACCTTTTGAAAAAACTTCGCTTTTCGAATTTCAAAATTGGCCTTAAAGCTCTTTGAATTTCAAAAAAGTTTATGATTGATATTTTTTTTGATGAAATTAACTCCATTTGATCAAACTGGAAGAGGGAGAGAGATTTTTTTTTGCTTTTTTTAAAATGAATTTTTGTCCTTTTAAATGTTAGTAACAAATCAGGGACAACTTAAAATCATTTTGTGAGTGACTTTTTCAGGGTTTGAGTGAATTCTAGTGATAAATTAATCTCAATAGCAGAAATTTCAGACCGATTTTTCTCCAAACAATTTTTTTGAATTATCTTTCTGGTATTACGAGTCCATTACGAGGGCAAACTCTGCGTTTTGAAGGCGCAAGATTTTACCAGTCCAAGGCGCACCAAATTATTGAGAAACCAATTCAAATTTCAAACCAAGATTTTTTCAATTCCGGAATGCTATTAGAAAAACTTACCTTGCTGCTATAAGCTATTTACTATTGTCAATTTCAAAGACGTATTCCAATTTTAGCAAAAGATTTAATTGTATCTAGCGTGTGAGGAAATTGCAATTTTCAGGGGGAGATTTGTTTTTAATGCCAATGACAATGAGCACGTATGATTTGTGCCAACAAAATGAGATTTTAAATTGCAAAGTAGTCAGGCGAATTAAAATTCCCGGACCCCTTGGGATGAGTGAAATCAGCTTCTCCAGCTACAAAGCAGAAGAGACTTGAAAAGTAAAGCAAAACTTACGCTTGCCGCCTGATTTTCTTGTTTTTAAATTCATTATTTCAGGCCTTGTTTTATATGCATCGTAAATTGAAATATTTTCCCTTGATGTTTGAACAGCCCTTTTTGGATACTTTACTATTCATAAACAGTTGAAGGGTTGGGCGTATGCTAATTTGGCCTTATTAAGCTCAAGCTCACCTGATGTTGCGAAGGGTCGATGGCTGTTATGTGCGTATGGTATGTACGGAGTTAGCCGTTGATGTGTAATACTCACTGTTATCTTAGTTGGTAATAAGCAGTTCTTCAACTTTGATCTGCTTTCAAAATAAAGCAGTTTGAAATTTGAGTTGAATAAATAAGATGAGCAAGTATATTTGAAATTGAAAATGAATAGTTTTCGAAATAAATTTCTTGTCAAACTTATTATTGAATTGAAACTTTATTTCCTACAAAGAAAGATTAACTTCACTTATTGGTGCCACCGGTTTGTTGTTGGCTAAAATGAATGTTTGTTGGTTAAAAAATGTAGGACTCGAAACAGCTAAGCGTAATTACTGTCGACTAATTTAAGAATTAAAGGTTTTTGCTCCGGTGCAGTATAAGGAAACGGCTGCCTTGAGTTGCAGATCCTGTGTGTAAATGTTGAATGGTCTCCATGAAATAATAAAGATAATCTTTTATAAATCCGGAACCACGTTTCTGGCTAAATCTTGTTTCTTTTCTATATTACTGATAACATGGGGAAGTGCACTACCTTGCAGAAACATCGGTTGCTTAATCGTATAGGGATCAGAAAATTGGCGTGCCACCGGAACAAATCTCAGTTGAAATCCTATAACTATTTTTGGCAACGATGACAAGGTGAATTAATGGTCCGAAGGTATTCTAAAAAACCTCACCAGGACTATAATTAAGGAACAAATGAGATGACATGAACTACGCCACTGACGTAACAAAAAAAACTAAGTCAAATGATACTGCTTGGTGATGTTTTTTATGATCTCAGCAAGGTTTTTAATGACAATGAAAGAAACAACGTTGATCAAAGGAGACAAACGTGAATGAATTTGCTTTAGTCTGAAATAAACCCGCTGTGCTTTCATGTGTAAAGGACGTTATTTGAATTAGGAACCAATGTGTACTTAATTAATTTAATCAAATTTTTAGCTGGATTAGTAAAAACTAAGCAACGTTTTGTGTCAGCAATATTTAAACATAGAGCTAAATTTGGCACTTTGGGTTCTCATGGATCGCCTAATGTTTAATTGGAAAGTTCTTATGTGGATCATTTTTTCAAGTTTAGTCATGAAGAAGGCTCGATTTAAAACGAAAAACAGAAAGAGAGATTATGACCAAATAGCCGATGACACCAAACCCGAAAAAGCAGAAAAATTGTTGAATCAGGAGCCAGATATAGAATTACCTGGCGAAGCCCAGTTCTACTGCGTGCCCTGTGCTAGACACTTTATAGACGATAAGTCACTCTCTTGTCATCAGAAGTCGAAGAACCACAAGAAACAGATCGCGAAAATCCTGGACAATAACGCATTTGATCACAAGGAATCGCTTGCAGCTGCTGGTAAGAAACTTTTCATATATCACATATTTTTGTTTTTTCGATATTTTCAATTAACTTATTGGACCAAGGTACCATCCTCCCCCAATCCGTTTAGGGGGGAGAATATTAACTTGGTTCTGAGCTCAAATTTTCGGCCAATCAAATTTAAATTAAATTGAACGCTGGGATGGCGGATCTAAACTTGATATATTGGGAAGGGGGGTTTTAACTTGATCCAAATTATTTTTTAAGCGCTTGAAGTGATGGCTTTTGGATGAGTAAAGATCTGATCCTTATATTGTTAATTCGAAGCTCGCATTTGTGCAGTAAAATATCAATGCTCATAACCGCAGTTGTTTTTGTTCAGGTTTTGGAAGCTACCAAGCACCTGCGCCAAAGTTCCGAAAAATCGACATTGATGTTCGAAAGGAATCACTACAGATGACAGAATGAACCAAAAAAAGACCTGAAGTTTCTGAGCTGACTTGGTGGTTCCAATTTTCTTCCGAAATGCCGATGAGAGATTTCATTGCGAAACTTTGTCGATCTGCATAAAGAGCGTATATTGTAATTTGCTGATCTTGGCTTAGAAAGAGGATACGAAATTAAAACTATCTCAAACTGTATTTTTAAAAACTTGTGTTCGATTTGAGACAGTGGCAACTCAACGATTTTACATCAAATTCAAAAATCCGAATTCGTTATTTGTCTCCAAAGGTTATACGCAGCTTGCATTTTTGTAGAGTGAAAAATGCGGCAGTTCTTTTCCAGGTTGAACAAAGTTTTACCGTTTACTACAAAACATGTGTCTTGGGCTGCTAGGTAAATGGGCAAAATTTTTAAAAGAACCGATCAAGTAGTCGAGATATTCCAGTTTGGATCCTTTTTTGGGGGACACCCTGTATTTTCAGTCAATCGTTAGTATTTGTTTTTTTACTTACTGGCAGTTTTGAACGAGTGAAGGGAAAATAAGTTAGAGGCTTCAAGTCATAACGGGTGACAATTACTAATTAGTTAGTTAGCATTATGAGGTTTAAAACGTTTGCATTTCCATTTCTTTGCTACTTGCATGATTGCTTGCAGATAAATAGGTACTGCAGCAGCGCCGAAATTACCAGCACTATACTTAAGTATCGACGTAAGCGCAACGAACATTCTGCAAGCTTAAGTTTTTAAAAATTCTGCGTTTGTAATAGATTAGTCTGGTTAAATGGCAAGCAATTATCTGCGCGCACGTTTAATGTCTCACCGAAACTATGCGCAACAGTGCAAAGTTGCTTATTCCGAACGTTGCTTGTTCCTTAATACGCATCGTTGCTTGTTGCGAATTTTCATTCAACCTTGAAGTATTGTCAGGCGCTTTGAATATGCAGTTTTTGTGCCCTTTTATTATCTTAATCTTATAAGAAAATTGCAACGAGAAAAATAACGAGAATTAATATAAGTTTTGAAAAATTTTAAGAAAAAAATTTGAATCAGAAATTATTTTTGAAATTCGAAGAACTTAAACGTGATTTAATTTGTTCTTCAAAAATTATAAAATATAATTCTTTTTTGTTCATGGACACTTATAAATGTGTCTGTTGACTATGTTTTGCCGACTCACCTTGATATGCCTCGGTTTAATCGTTTTGTCTTTTAGCAATGCTTAATTTTAGTTATGTTTTTACACTTGTTAGAGCAAGTGTCTTGTATTCAAAAAATAGACTTTTTCCCGTAAACAAGTTTCCTTACAAATCTGTAAGAAATTGAGCTTGCTTTCTTATTGAACCTCCACATCATTGAAGCTCTTTCCCACTTAGTGTAGAAGTAACGTGGTCGCATTTGCTTTCTTAGGTCCGTGGCTCGAATACCCGTTTGACCTTGTTCTTTTTCAGTATGTATGAGATAGATTGTTTTCCGCAAAAAACTGAATTGTCGGACTTTCTTTTGTCTGTTTATGCTTTGTTGGGTTCGTTGTATATTCATTTTTCTGGTGGTGTAATTTTTTTTTAATTTTAACTTCAAGTGTTGTTGATTTACTTCTGTAATTTGTAAGTTAACTTATCCTGACGATAAATCCTTTTCTTTGTTATTTTTCGCTTAAAAGCGTGTTCGGCCTAAATAGTTTTGGCTACTGTTGTACCGGCTTCGTCCACATATTTTTTTGTCGTTTGATGGAAAATTTGACGTTTTTTTTTAAAGTAGTTCAGGTCAGTTGTGGTGTAAAAACTTAAATTGTGGCCGCTTTGAAAATAATTTAAGCTCTTATGCTGCTTAATTTAAGATTGAAGATTGTGCTTATCTACTGTGTTTCTGATATAAGATTGAGTTTATGATATAAGCCTAATTTAAGATTGTGTTTTTTTGCGAAAAAAATTTTACTTCAAATTTGTTTTCTCCCTTGTTCGTCCTATTTTTTTTTCGTCAGCTTAAACTGCTATACTTGCGATATATCGCAAATGATGCCTAGCTCTGCTTCGCCACTGTATCAAAACTAAAGAGTATAATTGAACATATGTGGGGTTTAATTTTATTCATTTGTCAAAACAGTGCTGGCATATGTAGAAATAAAACAAACAGTTGATGAGAAGATGTTCATAGAGTTTGTTGAACTTATGTTTTTGTTTCAATGTAGTAAACGCTTTTGTACACTCAAGTTCAAACCTAATGAACAACTGGTTTTTGCTACTATGACGGAAAACAGGTGTGAAGTTTTCTGTTGGGGTCAAGTAGTTTGACGGTTTTTGTCCGCTCTAAATCAGAGAATATTTGCCATGACACAAAAAATCTGTTTTCTCAATTTTTGAAATCACTAGCTCTGTGTTTTTTTGCGTAGAAAAGTTTAAATCAATTCGAGAATTAAGGTATAACCAAATTATCAGATGCAAAATTGATGTTATCAATAAACAGTTTTTTCAGCAAGCTATTTCTTAAATGTTCTCAAGCGACAGATCCTAAGGAGCAAGGAAATACAGCAAAACAAAAGATAAAAAAGGGGAGGACTTAGTTTTGATTTGTTATATTTTGATTTTTTCAAAAACTATATTTTCAAATTTTTGTCATAATATGGATCTAAGTCGCAAATAAAAGTGCTCATTTATTTTGTGGTTCTTTGCAGCATTGGATCTCGTTTAATTTTGCTTCATAGTATTATCTTGTTTTTTTAGCTACATAGTATTATCTTGTTTTACCCGACGTTCTATGGCCTTCAGAAATTTCAGTGGATGTTTTTTTCTACTCATTTTTGGATTATTTGCTTTTTTTTGAAAATACACTCCAAATCTGAGAGAAAGGTTTCACCAAAAGAATATGTAACCGTGATTTCGATACTCAGCCCAAATTTTGGTGCAAAAAAATTTTGGCCTTAGAAAATGTCTAAATTTTGAAATTTTGACACCATTTTTTGGAAACTTTTTCATTTTCTTGAAAAAATATCCTGCCAAATTTGAAATACTCTGCCAAATAAGTTTAATCGGAAAACAAGGTTAAGGAATTTTCTCAATGTATAAGCAGTTACGCCCTAATTTTTTGTGGAAATTTAGTTTTGGATTTTTTAAATTTAGACCGTATTTCGTTGACCAATTCTGAGATAAAGGGTTTGCCAAATCTGAGATATAGGATTCAATCGAAAGAACAGGTGCAAGGAAGTTTTTCTGCATATTGGCTACAATCTATTTTTAGTAGAAAAGCATCATTGATTGCAGGAAAAATTCATGTTTCGAAATGATGAAAGCTGTTGGATTTTTTTCTCGAAAACTTCACTGTCAAATCTAAGATTTGCCAATTTTGAGGGTTTAATAGAAAAGAAAACAAGCTGTGAGGGTACCCCCTGTATAAACTAGTTTGGCGAAAGGAATTCGCTATGGACTTTGACCTTTTGACCCAATTTTGGACTTTGTTAAATTTCCTCAAAACGACCGTGCCAACCCTGAAAAAATATATATTAATAGGTAGGAATCATCTATGGACTTGATAAATGTCCACGTTTTGACATTTCGAAAATTACGTATTACCTTTCGAATCAGCACATTTTTTATAAAGATAATCAAACAGGTACCTGCAGCCTTAGCTGACCCTAAGGGTTAACTGTTTTTAAGCGGTCCTGTCATAGGACGTTTTAGCACTACAGCGTTGCTCCTTTTGGACCCAAAAAGCAAATTAAAAATTAGAAAAGTACAAAACGCAAATAATTGACAAATATTAATTCATTCATTTTGTTCGAGCTCACGATTCCTGATAACTGGCCGCATAATTGATTGTTGCATTCTTATCCCTTTTACGGTATTATGTACTAACCTTTCATATATCTTTCACTTTACAGTTTTTTTGTCGATGTATTTGCTGCAGCTCATTTATAGTCTTCTTAGTGGCTACACTAACTATACCCAAACCTATTTTTGGAAGCTATTGCTGATTTTTCTTTCAGATGTTTTTTGAAGCTCGGAAAAACTTAACAAAGTAGTGCATATTTTGAGTTTTCCAGCTTGTTCGGTCTTGCATTTTAAATTTTGGTTTACTTGTGCTAACATATTCTGCATAAATTGCTGTTTTATTATTTTTGTATTATGTTGAAGTGTATCTGACGCTGTCATGGGGAAGTGTAAAATTGTTTCGAATTTTGTTTTTCCTTTTAATTATCTGTTTTTTTACCCCGTTATGAAGATCTTCCATATACTTGGCATACTGTTCTATATGTTTTGCTGTTTTATGCATTTGTGTTTACCGATTTGTGTGATCGTTGAATGCATGATTTCAAACTCAATCACGCGCAATTGGGTCAGAATCTGTGAATCAAATGAGTGGAATATAGTAGTTAAGCATCTCTCAGAAGGGTTTAGTCTGTTTTGACTTAAATCAAGATGCCTGAAAGCAGAAACAGTTGTTTTTGCGGAGCCTCTTGTGCTTAAATTAGAACTCGTTCTGTTTAAATAGAACTCTCCTTTTAATTTCAGATTTATTCATGCCTTATGTATTCAAGAAACAACAAAGTTAGGTTCATTAGCCTGCTAAAAACAAAGTTAAAATTTGTAATTCTGGGAAGCAACAGCTAAACGAAATTCATTTTAAAATGTCGCTTCTGGACTACGATGAAGATTTGAGTGTGAACGAGTTTTTTGTGCATCTGAAGACCGAGTACACCTCAATATTCAAAGATGCTTCTACCAAACGGTATACGGTAAGTGGTACTAAGAATTGTCCACTTGGAATTTCTTTTATCATCGTTCTTAGAGGCATCTTACATGGAATCCTGCATTTGTAATGGTTTGTAGTGAGGTTTCACAATAATGCTACCACCTAAGAATTCTCAATGCTGCTCGTGGAAGCATCGAATTAAGTTATCAAATCTTAGTGAAAGAATCCCAGCATCGCACTGAAAAAAGTATTAGCATAGCGTGAGAATGTTTTCGATGCATGATCCCAGTATTAATAATGATTCAAGAAGACGAAATAGTTTCTAAAGTTTAAGTTTTGAAGTGTTTTTTAGATCTGTGTTCCTCGTCAGGGTAGCTTCGATGTGAAATCTCTCACTTGCGAAGTGATCTCAACACACATTCTGAAGACACGTCTAGACCATCAAGATATCAGAGCGTCCATTAACACATACAGTGGAAAGGTCAGTGACTGCTCGTCGTTTATACTAAATAAGGCTGTTGTTGGTTGCCCACAACACCACCAACAAAATTAGATTTAGATGATAGTGTAGTACTGTCTATGCCCTCAGGGCTTAGAGACTCCTAAGTTTGGTGTATGAAGAAATATCAGCCATGTTATATATTTTCTTAAGAACATTAACAGGAGTTCAGAACAACACCGAAAGTTGTTTTTATTTGAAATGTGTACGACTTTCTTATCTGTTACAAAATTGTTTAATAACTATCAAGTAACAGTTACATGTTTTCGGCTGGTTTAAATCGTAGCTGGCTTGCTCTTTGGGTGATTTTTGTTCCACCATTGACTAGTTGTTCAGCCTTTAGACTAATGGAGGATGCAAGCAGTTTGGATTCGGGCGAGCTTTTTTCTCGCAGATTTGGGTGTCACAATTGATTACAAGATGGGTTCCAAGGAAATATATTGTTGAAGGTCGTTCGTTCGAGCTGAAATATACGAAAATATCCGAGCTGAAATATGTGAACCTTGTCACTAAATGTTCTGAAATTTCTACATTATTTCAATTTAGAGTGAACAGTTACGGTGTTCGTTTTTTTTTAAATAGAGCAAATTTTTTTCTCAATTATATTCAGAAATAAATTTAACGACTGACAACTATTGCACTCTCCCGCCTATAAATAAATACAACAAAAAGTCTGAAAAAAACTGTGCTAACACAGCTCTGTGCTACTCGCTTAACAGGCTTTGTCATAATTTTAGTCAAACACTAAGTCATTTCACGTGTTACTTTACACGACTCTTAAAAACTAAATAAGTAGTGGGGCTACGAGTGATATAAGGACAATAAGCATAACAAATTTCTTATTGTTCCGACTTTCGTACCGAAAGTAACGGAATATTTGTGCTCGGGGTGGGTTTTTTTTTTCTTCAGACAAATTTCGACTTTTTAACTAGCCATTTTTGACGGAATTTTTTTATATCACTCAAAAGGTATTGTTGTCCTGAGCTTAAATTTGAAAAGATATTTGACCTGTGATCATTTTTCGTAAAGATATGAGGGTTTAAAGATTGCCATTTTGGTCATTTTGAACAATTTGGGACAATTAACGCGCGATATAATTCGCGCTATTAACGCGTAAGCGGAGATTTAATCCGTCTTATAAATCGTTCCAAATTGGTTGAACGGAGGTTATTTGCCATAATTGATTTGTTACAAGGAACGAAATCTCTCTTTTTGTACTTTATATGGCGTGTACATAAAAAATTTCAAATTTTAGAAAAAAATTTTTATTTTCTTTCATTTAATTTTTTAAATGTTTTTACTGCTGCTCCATAAACCTTAAAAGGCAGTCGGAACATTCAGGGCTTCGCCCTGATACGAGCAGTCTTGTTTTAATTTTATATTTTAGTATTTTGTGTTTCTAGGAAGTGAAATTGGCCAATGGAAACTTGGAGACGATATCTGGTTTCGAGTGTGACAGAAGGGTACGTAAAAATCTGCTGTTTTGTTTTCGTTTTACTGGCAATAAAAAGTGTCGGATGTATTAGCGAGACTCAATGTGAAATCGTGCACAGGTTTTTCGTTTCATGAGAATTTCAGAACCGAATCGATCGAAATTGTTCTTCGAGGAGTGTTTGAAGTTTACTGATTCACTCAAAACACCCAAATGGATTGAAGGTGAATTGAAGAGAAAAGTTGTCTCAGATTTCGTATCACAATTTAAGTTTGCCATAATTTTCGCCCTACTGTAATTTTCATCCTATTTCAAAAACTCTTTCAGTGGACTAACCGCCAGTCGTTTTCATAAACGGTTCGCGTCTCTGGTTTTGCAAGTTCGCAACGGATATCAGTCCGAATGCGGGCATTTACTTAACAATTATTCGGGCAGGGCAAAAATTACAAATAGTTTAATATATAGGATAAAATATGCTGTGATAATATAAGAGGCTGTGCGGGTGGAGGATATTGCTACATGTATATAAAGACTTGAATGTCGGCTTTTCGTTCACCTTAGGCTAAGATTTGCTCAACTGGGCCATTAAATTATCGCAGCGTAAAATTCCAAACCTCTATAAACGCAAGGTGATGCTGTCTGCAGCGAATTTGCTATCGTTCGAATTTACAATAGAATCGCCAGTTCTACGCTGACTAAATCTGCAGGAGACGAAATCTTTTCGGCCGAAAAGGTAATGCTGCAATTACGAGAATGCATTATAGCTACGAAAATGCATTCTAGATTTTCCGTTTTTTCGAGTTGACCTTCCAGTGCTTCCTTTTTTGAGTAGTTTGAACTTGATTTCTGAAGTTTTCAGTCAGTTGAAATTAAGGCGTATATGGCATTAATGATTGTTATGTTGTGTAAACAACATTTGCAATAATTGAATTTTAAGCCTGAGAGATTGTCTTGAGACCTTCTGTTTGTTTGATAACTTGAAGTTTTTATGAAAACATTTTTTTTCGGTTATTGAGAGTATTTTTGTCTTCTTTCTGCAGTTTCATTCAGTTCTGTTTTGTGTTCGATTTCCAAAATTTATTCGAAGTTTAGATTGAAATTGCCTCCACATCGGAATATGCAAAGATCGTCGTTTAAATGTCGGCTTTAAATGTTTAAATGTCGTCCTTTGTAGGATGTGGTTTGTGAACATAATAAAATTAAAAAGCGACAGACCGTTTCAGCCGTTTTGCAGTTTCATTCAGTGCTGGTTGATTTTGTTTTTATTGGACTTCGAGGTCAAGTTTCCTTTACATACGAATATCAGACCATATTTGTTTTTTCATGTGTTGTATGATTATAAAAGTGAAAAGTAGGTATCGAAGCTGACACTGACCCATGTGGTACTTCAGAAGAAATTTTTTTTACGGATGATTTCATTTTACCAAGATATGTAGAGTGCGTCATTTTTTCAAAAAAAAAGGTTTTTGAAAAATTTGAGATATGGGCCAAGCAGTCCGTTATATGAACAATTTTTGGAAAAATTCTACTTGGCTGATTATTATCAAAGGCTTTACTAAGAGCTTGAAAATTACATTGCGTTGACCTGCTTGGATTGTTCCAAATATTCTATTGGTTTTCCGCCATTTTTAACTGACCCTAAAATGCGTAATTGGAGTCGTTTTAGCAGCTTTTAAACTGTCCTGGAAGTGAGTTTTTTTTCATTTCCTTTCTGCTGCGACCAATGAAAGTGTCTTCGGGCGTCTGTAGTTTTTCTAGGTAGCACAAACAATCAGTAGAATGAATAATATCTCATATTAAAAGCCCTTCAGTCCTGATTTGAACGGCATCAAGAAAATAAAAAAAATCTCAATTTCTAGAAAAATCGTTTTGAAATTTTTGCTTTTTAGCCTAATTTTGAGCTACTCAAGCGAGAGATTAGGTTAAGCGAGAGAGTAGGTTTAGCGAGAGAATAGGAAAAATGTTCATTGAAACTGAGTTCCACCTCGAAGTTTCGAAGCTTGTTTTAGAACGTCCTTGGCAATAAAAAGTTTTTTTTTTAATATTTCTTAAAAAAAGTTTCGATTTTCTTTATCAATTTTGATTACAAATCTTGTCGATTGTGATTGTTTTACTAACGTTCTAAGCTTTCGTCTTTCCTGTCAACACACAACAAACGAGTTTTTTTTTCTGAATGCGGTCGGAATTTTTGAACACTTGCTAAGCTACCGTCTACTGTTGTTTGAATCAGTCTTCCAGTACTGGAATTATTATTTTTTAAAACGTGTTTCTTAGAAAAGATAGTTCAAATAAAACAGTCAGTGCTATATTTTATTTTCTACTGGTAAAATTTCGAGAGTCAGCAGTGTCAAACGGATTTAATGTTTGAGGCAATGGGGACTTACTACATTTTTATAAGTCTTTAAGTCTTGTTGTTTTTTTTTCGGCTTCAAGGGTTTCTGCTATGATGTTTTCTGTTACTTTTTACTTTGTTCATGCTTTGTAATTTTTTTTCGATGCTAATTTCACATTCTCGTGGCTTGGCGTTTTTTTTCAAAATAATTCTTATTCATTTTGATGGATCTAGTTTTTTTCGACATTTTCGATTTTTTTTGGACTCAGCTTTGCCTCTGTGTGAAAATTTTTCATTCAAGATATTTTTTGCAACCCTTTTCTTGTGTGACGTGTTGTTAATGGAGTTAAATGTTCAAGTTTTTCCGGTTTTCTTTTTGATTTCTTCGAATAGCCGAAAAAAAGTTTCGTCTGACATAGGATATGTCAAACACTGCGAAATCCAGGACTCATGCGAGTATAGGCGCAGCGGAGCCAAGAAGTCGCAAACTTTCGTATTAGTCGATTCTCTTTGAATATGATACTTGTTTGTTTGGCTCGCCGTGAAAATTTTCCGCGTGTCCGAGTTTTCGTTTTTGTGATACCCGCTACGAAATTCAATCAAAATCAAATTAAAATGGTATAAACTTTTATATTTTGTCGGGAAAACACAAGGGTAACTTATTTTAAATTGTCTTTTGTAGGTTAAAGTATTGTTCGAAGAGGACTATGTGAATGAGGCAGACCACAGCTATAAGGTGCTCTGCGTGGATCGGCCGCTGGAGGGCGACAGCTGGGCACATGTGGCCAACTCTGAACTGTTCACTCAGAGACTCACTACGCAGGAACAGTGTATGGACTTCCTATGGACCTCAAATACCAGTCAGTACAGTAAATGTATTATCTAATAGAACCAGTTTAATCCTTTTAGAAGTCTATCAATTATTGTTCAGACCATTGAAATTTTAGCTTTTTCGTCTAATTTCGACCGAATAAAGTGATAGCTTTGTTAAATTGGTCATTTAGGCTAAAAAAAATTTTGACTTTTTCAAATGGAAACAAGTTTGAAAACTATATTTGGCACTTCCCTGACAAGAATAGAATATGGTCGGAACATTCTGTGCTACTTGTATAGCTGTTTTGCTATATGTGTGAATGTTGTATAGCTATTTGGCTAGGTGTGAAGGTTAATTTTCAGGCAGACCTTTGCGTCAACTTTGAGGATTTTAAGTTCTATTTTTTTAGTTTCCCTTTTCAAACTTGAATGTGGTTTTTTCTCCAATATGTGCTCGGCTGTTAGTATCAATATGGCTAAATCATTCCATTTTTTTTTCATAAAGAAGAAAGAGTTTATCAAAGACGATATGAATAAGGTTAACAGCAATATTAACAGTAGAGTAGCAATGCAACTGGGAAAAGATGGCTCACGAGATCAGATGATGAGTTTAAATCATACCCAATTTCTACCCTCTTTTTACCAATTTTTACAGGGAAGTCGAAAGTGAAGCGTGGCATTGACCTGCTGGTGTCGCCAGTGATCAACAGTATCTCTTCGGCCGAGTCTGCTGACCAAGTAGTTGGGAGTTGTTCAGGTCTCTACCAGCAGGCTCTTCACAATCTCCTCCAGCATCCACACTACAGAAGACACTGCAAGGAGAACCATTATTACTTCCAGGCAGTAAAACTCTCCCTAGAAGTTAGTTCCAACTTTCTCTCAGTAATTCCTGTTATTTTTATCTGCATAGCATTTTTGAGTTTTTGTTTCCCAGTTGAAAAGCCGCTTCGGTGTTTTTTCCTTTAAGTTTAGACACTTGGTAGAATAATACTGAAGCCCTTTCAGAGGTTCATCGGGGTTTAAAAGAATGTAAGGTGGGTGAAATGTATGTTTCATTGTTCCGACAATTTGAAAAATGGGGAGGAACTTGGTATTCGGGTGTGTTTTAGTTTTTTAAGAGTAATGAACGTAGTAAAGACTCTTATACGGGTCTTGCCGATTTTTTTTGAGAAAAAGTCCTAAAAGTCTCTAATAACTACAGATGTGCATTCATACATATTGATGCATTTATGAATGCACTTCGGTATATATGCACTCTTTGAGTTGAATTGAAATGCATCTGCTGAAAGTGACGTAAATAGCACTCTCCAAATACGAACATAGAAATGGCGCGAAAAAACGTGAACTATTTCTAGTTTCGAAAGTGGAATTTAATTTTTAGATTTTCAGCGGAATAAAAACTTTAGCTATTGATCCAGTTTTCTCAAGTTGGGTTAATGTTATCAGAAAAGTGCCAATCATAAACTGTTCTAGAATTTCAAAGAGCCAATCATAAATTGTTCTAGAAAATTGAGATTTTTTCAAGAAAGTCAGTGTTTTTTATGTTTACGTTCATTACTCTTTTTCAATGTTTGATTGGCTATGTTTCGTTTTTTTCCACGCAAAATCGGGTACCACAAAAATTATCGGAAAAGTTGAGTGATATATCATATTAAAGCCCTTTCAGTCTCAGTGTATATTCAGTGCCCTTTCAGTTTATATAGCTTTGGTACCGCCCTTTTCAACCTGTGCACGTACCGTCGCATGACGGAAGGGCCCATTTTAATTTCAGTCTCAGTGTCGAGAAAAACCAGCTTGAAATTTTTGGTTTAATTTCAAGCTCATAAGGATCAAGTTTTCAATGACCAGAAAAAAGTGCAAATGACGTAAAATGCGTGAAATAATTTAAGTTTAATTTCGAAATTCATTTTGAAGGTTTCCCAAATGGAATAAAATACTCACCCCTTGATCGAGTGTTCTCAAATCACCAAAAATAAATTATCCAAGACTCTTGAAGTCTAATAGATTCCCCGTGACAAAATCTGTCAGGACTGAACAGCCCACGATATTTAAAAGATCCCAGTACTAAATAGCAAAAATCGAAAGGGAGCAAACGGCTGCTGCTAAATACAACTAAGTTTTCATCACAAACTACCTTGCTTATTACTTGACCTTTGATCTCCGATTCGAATCTCGATATTAGCAAACTTCAAGTGAACTTGATACTGATTTTGGTAAATTTGGCCTAATTTTCTTGACAAATCAAATCTTTTTTCTTTTTTAAATCATTATACTTATACGTCAATATCGTTATTTGGTTGTTCTGCTTATTTTTTTTGAGTTCGTGCTAGAAAAATGCAATACTTGAAGTGTAGCCTGGTCTTTAGTCCCTATCTAGGGGCCTGGAGTCTACCAGACGAGCAGTTGCTCTTGTAATAAATTGCTTGTGCAGAGCATTTTTAGAAGCGGATTATGGTATAGATTTCAAGCGTGTTTCCGAATGCTACAAGAAAGCGCATGCGAAGTTTTTAGAACAATTTCAATTGTTTTTTTTTTCAATTAAACACATCTAAGACGGACTAGATAAGGCTCTAATTTTTTGTTTTGCAAAATTTATCATCTGAAATATTAACGGACCTCTTGTTTCACAAAAAGTGTCAGAAAATTGCCAATAAATTGATATGTTGATTTGGTACCAAGCTGAGGCCAGTTAACATATTTTGTGCCAACTGTACTTCGCTATTGGATTCGTAAATCTTAGGCAACTCAGATGTTTTCTCTTATAGCTCTGACTGAGAGGAAGTATCAATCTCTAGTGTAAAATCGTAAGTTAGACTGTTCGATGTCATCAAAAATCAGAATGCGTCTATGGTCTTGGCTTACGCAATCGAGGAGTCTAGGGCAAACATCCGATATGTCAAACATCCGAACTTATCTAATAGTAATGAAATAAAATGACTTTGAAATTCCAGAAGAAAGACAGTTCAATTATCCGATTCCAAGCTCACCCTCGTTCACCCCGAGTCTTACCCTCTGTTTGCAAGCTCGCGACACGTAGGCGCGACCGCGGTGATCATCCTTCATTCGACCACTACCACAATTTTTAAGCGAACGGTAGAAATCGCATCTTTGCCATTCTTTTTGCAAATTGTCGGAAGTTTGTCCCAGTAAAGCTGTTTTTGCTGTTTGCAACACTTTGATTTTTCAGATGTTTGACATATGATTTATGTTTGACAATTGCACGGTAACTGCTATCAATTAGGTAGTTTACTCTTGTTGAGATTTGGATTGATTGCAGATTGAGATAATGATCAAATCAAATCAAATAACAGAATCAAAATAATCCAGTTTTTTCCCTTTTTCTGGAAGTTTTCATCGTACAGTAGTTTATTGCAGGTTTTTGTCGAGAGACTGGCTTTCGTTGGAAGGCAATTTGGATTATGCGCGCCAAAACTTTATTTCTAAAATTGTTCAATGCATAAAATTACACAAGCGCGGAGCGTAGTGTGATGCTACGAAGCCACTTTTTTTCCAGTCAAAATTGCAAATAAATTGCTCGTTTTGTTGGCAGTCTTAATATTTTTCCAAGCATTGGCAATTTAGTTTCATATTCAGCTGCTTTATTGCTGGCCAAATTTAGTTGATTTCTCAGCGACCCCAACGAGGACCTTAGACTGCATATCTACAGATCGGATATGCTGTTCCGGCAACTTCAAATAGTTGTATTTTGGTTTGGTGACTCTTTTTCTGCATTGGCAATATATTGGAAACTGTAGCTGCAGTATTGGTAGGTAGTGTTGGTAAAATTTCAAGCGATAGTTTCGCAGATATGAGGACGTGAAACTCCTAATCTCCAGGTCGGAGGTTCGATTCGGCCACAGCAAAAGTTTTGTTTCTATTGTTATTGATCATCGAGTTGGTCTGATTCGTATAATTTTTTTCTGTGACAATAGTCTCGGTTTAATTGTCTGAATTTTATTTGCTTATGCTTTTGATGTTAATGGAAGGTACCGAGTTGCGCTTTTGTTTTTGCAAGTGGAAGTATCAAAGTGCAAGACATATTTTAAAATTTTTCATCTTTAAGAATAACTCTTGAGCCTAACTTACAGTAGTTTTCTTTCTGTAAATCTCCATCATCTAAGTACGTTCCAATTTAGCTTCGGCTGCTGATCAAGCTTCATTTTTTACTCTGTGAAAATGTTTTTTATTGGTTTTTCGTCATAATTTTGCAAAAAAAAACCAACAAGACTTTACTTGAGCTAATTTAATTGAGTTATACATTTTTTTCAGACATATCTGATGGGTCTTCTTCACGACTCAGTTTTCACGAAGCTCTTCAATCTTGAGAAGTCGGCTGAGGTCGAGTTCAACAAACAGTATCTCTACTTGGCCGACAAAGTCACTCATCACACTCTACAGTTGGACGCCAAACACTGGCAAGTTTTTTCCACTCACTGATTTCGAGCTTAGTTCATTTTCTCCATATCTTCATGTTATGCATATTTTGTCTATTTGAGTTATCGAACTTAGAATGAGCTGCAGATCAAAAAAGCGATGATTGAGAAAATATGCTTCAAATATCTTTCCGACCTGATCTTGATCTTCAAAACGTGATCAGGATCTTTTTTTTGCGATCCGTCCTTTGCTAGTTTTGCTATTTAGCTTTTTAAGGCTCCAAATTGGTCAAATGTAAATATAAAAGGTTAAAAAGATGCAGAAAGTAACATGAAAGTGTTATCTGTTCTGAAATCTATTTTGCTCCTATTTTCAGCATAAACCTGGAAAGATCAGCTGCCGAAGTTGACCAAGTAGTCACCCACCACTGTCCCTTGGAGATGGCCTACTGTCTCGAACGCTCATTCAGCCTACTTTTCTACAATTCTCCTACGTCAACCTCACACACAAGCAAAAGAACAGCCACAATCACGAGCACAACATACTCGTCCGCAAGTTCGCCTCCTTTATTCCGACCGAAAAGCAGTGTTGCTGGCGGACCCACGCGGAAGGCGTTTTTCCCAAGAGGTGTGTCGTTAGCAGGACCATTCAATTCTGCGGGTAAGGCAGTTTCCTTCAAATTGAGAAGAAATCGATTTGGTATGATTGAAAGTGAATGACCAGGAGACGGGTCTGATCTAGACAGTGAAATTAAAAACGAGCAAAACAAACAAAATAAAGGCATTTTAGCGGGTAATTGAACGAATTAGGCGGTAAACGTGTAATTGTTTCTTTCCTTGATTGCCCTCAAATCGAACGAAAGAAAGACTTACTGCTGTAAAAATAGTGATTCAACATTTGCCTAATGATATTCTTCTAGTTTTGCTTCTGCTTTGTTTGTTTTACTGGTCTCTCATAATTACCTATGCAGTTCAGTCTGGATCAGACCTGTCCTCTTGTCATTCGCCTGAGTGAGGATGCTAAATACTGAGTCAGCTTATGAGACCGTGAGCTCAAATCTTTACTTTAAATCATTACACTAGCCGGCTTCGAGCGTAGTGTATTAGTGCGAACCATCTTTTTTCTAACCTAACTCGCAAATAAAAGTGTTAGTTAAAAGTGTTCGCTTTTGCTATAATCACGATCTGTATCATTGGAAATTTCATAGCATCTGTTCTATGCTTCATTTCCGGCTACTGTTTGCGATCAGTAAATCGGAATATAGTTTTTTCAGGTTAACAAAAAATTAACAAAATCGCCTGAAATATATAATACCTCGGTTCAACTCAAATCAAAATCAAGGCGTCAATATTGCACATGTGAAATAGAGGTAACGCACGTACCTGTTAAGGCGAAGGTAATTGGTTTAGATCCGGGCAAAATCTGTTTGTTCTAAGGAAGTGGTTTCCTCATGACAAAAATCCGTTTGACTTTTGTTTGTCTGCTTGTTTTTCGGTTTAATTGGTACAGTACGGACTTTGCAAATGATAAAAGTTTTGTTTGTCTGCTTGTTCTTTGTCGGCTTAGTTGCTGCAGTGGGAACTTTGCCAATGAACTTTTTCCCGTAGATAACTTTGTTCATTTACTTTGTGTCATCGCCAAATCTGTACTTTTGTCAAAAAAAAATCGAGCATGTCTGCATTTCAAATCTCCGTTTTATTTGAAATTTGGTTTTATGTTGGTTGTAAATTTACCAACTCCGATTGCACTATATCAGTTTTTTCCTTTTTCTCTCTTTGTTCGGCCTGATAGATTTAGGCGTGATTTCATCTAAATGTTTTGAAGGGGACTTTTTCGAGTTCTTGAGTTTTTTGAGAATATATTTTTTCGGCTCCACGTGTATGCTCAAGAATTATCAGCTTTCTTATCACTTCGTAGGTTTTGTCCTAGTTGTTATGGAAGGATGTTTGTTCAAGACAAATTTAAGACAAAGATCTGAAAATTTTCGGTTGATCATTTTTTTTCTCCGGTTTTTGTCATATTTTCTGTCTGTTAGTCTGCTAGATTGCTCGTTTCTCACATGTTTGTTTCGATCACTCCCAGAGAGGGAACAAACTATAGCCTTTGTTGCTTTTCTTAACAATATTTCAGGCACGTCAGTGCAATGATGTAAGGCGCCGTTCTTTGCATCATATTCAAGCTTTCAGTCTTAGTTTTTTTTTGTAACGGCCACTTCCGAAAATAAAAATTAACTAAAAAGGGTTTTTCAAGTTTTTTTTAACCATCTCTCATTTCATTGCAAAGGTATGAATGTTGTTATTTTTGCAGAAGGCAGCAAAGAGTCGCGAATTTTTACCTTACTTTTGCTAAATACTGAGTCAGCTTATGAGACCGTGAGCTCAAATCTTTACTTTAAATCATTACACTAGCCGGCTTCGAAGTTTTTTTTTGTAACGGCCACTTCCGAAAATAAAAATTAACTAAAAAGGGTTTTTCGAGTTTTTTTTAACCATCTCTCATTTCATTGCAAAGGTATGAATGTTGTTATTTTTGCAGAAGGCAGCAAAGAGTCGCGAATTTTTACCTTACTTTTGTTATGAAGACGGTATTAATGACGAGAAACTAAACTATTTTGGCTTGTGGATTCATGCTATGTTTGTTTCAAGACTTCATCATTTAATAAATTGTTTTCAAAACGTAAATTTCAATGTGTAGTTTTATTTACCTTGACGTCGTATTTCCTTTGTTTTCTTTTGTTTTGATAAAAAAATTCCTCGGTCCAAATTATTTCGGCCTATTCTCATCAACTTAATCACCTAATTTTGGGTCGTTTCAAGGGAAACAAATTTTTAAGCCTTCCCTCCACATTTTTCAAATTGGTTGCATGTTTACCAATCGGTTTGTTGATTTTTTCTTTTGCTTTGAAATTTTTTTCACATTTTGCAAAATTTTTTGTTTTTCTCAGAAACTTCTGAGTTTCAAAAAGGGTATCAACTGAAAGACCGTCCACTCCCCTGTGTGCCTGCATACTCTCTTAAAGTCTTTTTCTACTTGAGCCCTCTGTCTCCGGCCTTCAAAAAAGGTGGGGGATTATTTGACCCATAAATTGTTTTTCGTTTTCTCGATAACTACCTCTCTCAAATCTTAGTTTTTGGTTTCAATGATTAGAACGGCTTAGAAAAATTCCCCTGCATGAGCGGCTACATCCAAATTTTTTCTCGATAACTATTTTCTGAAATCTGATTTGGTGGGTTCAATGGAGTTAACGGTCAGTGAGAAGCTCTCCTGCATTAGAGGCCACTCACAAAGTTTTTTACACAAAGTTATCTTCTTCAGAAAAGTAAAATTTTTGATTTTTTGACCGTTTTTCAAACTTTTTGAATATTCTCGAAAACTTCCCTGCCTTTTCTGAGATTTTGGTTCCATCGAAATTACAGATTGCGTAAGTTCTTTCTGCATAAGTATCAACGCGCTTTTTTTCACACAACAAGCTATGGTTCTCGGAAATGTCAAATTTTTTTAAATGTTGACCGTTTTTTGGACTTTTCTCACTAACTATCCTGCCAGAACTGATATTATAGGTATAATCAAAACAACAGGTTTTTAAAAGCTTATATTCGTAATGGGCCGTGCCTAGTTTGCTTAAGGAACTAGTTATGGCCCTCAAGCCAGTCGAAATTTTGAAACTTTTTTAAAGTTTTTTGGAAACTTTTTGATTTGATGCGAAAACTACCGTGACAATTCTCGGGTTGTGTTCAATCGAGAAACCCGGTTTTGGGAATCTTTTATGCTGAAGCGGCCACAACCTGCTTTTGGCAGAAACAAGTTATGGATTTGGAAAGCCGTTTGACCGTTTTGTAGAAATTCTGACCATTTTCAGAAATTTTTGGAATTTTCTTAAAATTTACACAATCAAATCTGAGATGAAAAGTTCAATTGAAAACCGGTTGCGATAATTGTTCTGACAGAAGCGGCGACTCGTATTTTTTTGTTAGAGAATTGTTATCTCCTTGGGAAAATTGATTTTCTCGAAATTTGTAGAGAAGCAGCTGAGGTTTTGGGCGAAGTCCACTTATTGAAATCACTTTATTCGTGCCGCACGAGTATAGGGAATTTATTCAAAATCAAGCACGTACTTCTAGCTTTTGATTGGCCCCTAGTTGTTTTTTTTTATCGAGACATACGAAATTTTGGTTCACCTAGTTTTTTCAACATGTAATTTCTTTTTTAGAACAATGTTTTTTTTGTGTTGTATCGCAAGTGGTGCAAAGCTTCGCTTCGTCTCTGTGTACGAGTTGTGGTTTTTTGCTGTTCTTTCAATTATATTGAGTATGGATCAACAAGCCGAATGGACTTCAGGCCAAATTTTAGTGTTCACAGGTGCATCAAAACTGTATGTGTTCATTTACCGGTTTTTGAAATATAAAAATTTATCAGCTGGAAGCGACTCCATAGACCTAAAAGGCAGTCGAAACATTCAGGGTTTCGCCCAGATACGAATATTTTTGTTATTGCATTTGATGTTAAAGGTTCTTGTATCGATTAATTTTAATTGGACTCAACTTGTGAAGAAGAGTGATTTGTGTTTTATTAGCTAAATTCGCAGAACTTTCAAAAAGTAGCTTAAATTAGACCTTCTAATTGCGTTTAGTGTTTTTACCAGAAGTCAGCGTAGTGTATTAGTACAAACCTTCTTTTTTTCTAACCTAGCTCGCAAAAAAAGTGTTCATTGAAAGTGGAGTGTTCATTTTTTTGGTGGCGCTTTAATCACGATTTAGCATTGGCATTTTCATTTCAGCTGTTCTCTGCTTTATTTGTGGCTAGTTTTTGTGATGTATTAAGCATGCGTGGCTGAGTGGTTAGTGCGTGAGACTCATGATCTCTAGGTCGCAGATGAATTCAAGACCTAGTAAGAACTCGGGTACGAAACACTTCTAATTTGACTGAAATTGTAAAGAAGAGACTATTTATTGATCCGACTAATTAAAGAAAGGGACGGAATATTTTTGCTCGGGGTGGGTTTTTTCTCTACACAAATTTCGGCTTGTTAGCTTTTGTCTGTTTTTTTTTAAATTTCATCTACCATTTTATTTTGAGTTAATCCATAGTAATTAAAACGCAGTCGGAACATTCAGAGCTTCGCCCTGATGCGAGCATTCTTGTTAGTATTTTATTCGCCAACTTAGCAAAAATTTCGAAATCCATATTAAATTAGACCAAATTGCATTTGGTGTTAAGAACTCTTGTGTGAAACAATTCTAATTACAGTCGATTTATAGACCCTCAGAATAGAAAATTGTATATTGGGGGTTGCTTTAAAAAATTGAAAATTCGGTACAAGTGTGATAGAGAGAGGTCCCAAGAAACTAACCAGGTCTTCAGTGTAAATAGGGTGCCTCAAAATTATTCAATTTAGTGCTTTGATGATGACAGTTAAAGTATCGAATAAGTTATCACAAATGATGCAGGTAAGTTGCGTTTGAAAAAAAATAATGAAATGATCGGCCTCTGCATTTTAATTAAGTTGATGGCCATTTGCTCAAAATTATTGATTTGGGACCCCTCTCACGTTTAGTTTTTACCGGGCCTCTTTTACCAGTTTGTCACACTTGTACCGGTTTATCACACTTGTACCAGTTAAGCATATCAAAGGGGGCTAGAGTATGATATTTGGGTACCTG